CCTGCTGCAGCTCAGAGGGGCCCTGCTGCAGCTCAGAGGGGCCCTGCTGCTGCTCAGAGGGGCCTGCTGCAGCTCAGAGGGGCCCTGCTGCAGCTCAGAGGGCCCTGCTGCAGCCCAGAGGGGCCCTGCTGCAGCTCAGAGGGGCCCTGCTGCAGCTCAGAGGGGCCCTGCTGCAGCTCAGAGGGGCCCTGCTTCAGCTCAGAGGGCCCTGCTGCAGCTCAGAGGGGCCCTGCTTCAGCTCAGAGGGCCCTGCTTCAGCTCAGAGGGCCCTGCTTCAGCTCAGAGGGGCAGGTTTAAATGATCCTCTGTGATCCAAGGCTAAAGCTGAATATTTCCTTAGAAGGTCGTTGAAGTATTATTGTTCTTTTAGCACTGCTGCCTGGCAGCAAGAAGGTTCCTGGTTTGATTCCTAGTCCAGGCTCTTTCTGCATTATTTTGTTTGCATGTTCTCCCTGAGCATGCGTGGGTTCTCTCCAGGTACTCCAGCTTCCTTCCACAGTCCAAAAACAGGACTGTTAGGTTCACTGGCTCTTCTAAATTCTCCTTAGGTGTTAATGGTTGTTTGTCTCTGTGCTGCCCTGCGATGGACTGGAGACCTGTCCAGAGTGGACCCCGCCTCCTGCCCATTGACTGCTGGAGATAGACACCAGCACCCCTCACCCCCCCAGCACCCCTCACCCCCCCAGCAGAGATGAAGCATGACAGAAAATGGATGTTCTATTGTATAAACAGTTCAGTTCAGCGTTGCTTGAACCAGAGAGCTAAAGTCCAGTGGCAGATGATTCCGCCTGCAGGATGGTGATCACACTTTAACATCTTCTTATCCGTATTGTGATGATTTGTTTGCTTGGATAAAAACTCAAAGTATTGGATTATAGAATAGATTCAGGAAGTAAATTATTAGAAGGATCCAGACTCTGGATGAGCCATCTGCTGAAAGAACAAACTCAGAGCTCTGTGTCCAGAACTCCTCCTGTGGGTTTTAACTAGCATTACACTTTGCTTTATTAAAGTGTGTATTTCAATAATAAATGGATGACTAACTAATGTGGATCCAAACCTGTTTCTTGTGTGTCTCAGGGAGAAGTACACTCTGGAGCAGGACATCAGGGACATGGAGGAAGCCATCAGACACAAGAGTGCTGAGGTTCAGGTGAGGACAGCTGAGTGACTGGTTTACAGGACGCCCTCCAGACATCCATGACCACTGGCTATGTTTTCCGGTCAACCACCCATCAGGAGATGCAGAACGAGCTGGACAGAGAGACCAGCAGTCTGCAGGAGCTGGAGGCCCAGAAACAGGATGCCCAGGACCGACTGGAGGAGATGGAGCAGCAGAAACACAAACTGGAGGACATGCTGAACGAAGTACGGCTGAAGTGTCAGGAGGAGTCCCATCTGGTAAGGAGAAGGGGGGGCCTGCTTCCTGTGGGGTCCTGCTTCCTGTGGGGACCTGCTTGCTGTGGGGGCCTGCTTCCTGTGGGGTCCTGCATCCTGTGGGGACCTGCTTTCTGTGGGGTCCTGCGTCCTGTGGGGACCTGCATCCTGTGGGGACCTGCTTTCTGTGGGGTCCTGCGTCCTNATGGATGGATGGATGGATGGATGGATGGATGGATGGATGGATGGATGGATGGATGGATGGATGGATGGATGATGGATGGATGGATGGATGGATGGTTGGTTGGATGGATGGATCCATCCAACAAAACCCTGTGATTTCGTCGTACAGCGTGAGGCTGCAGCTGCGTGCAACCTTTCCAAACTCATGCAGTGCACGTCTGGCATAAGCCCTTTCCAGACAGATGCAGAGTCGTTGGCTGGAAACTGTTCATCAGCAGCTTCTCAGATGAGTCATTTAGCATCTTTCACAGCCTTGCTGAACATATTTGAATCATCTTTGAATCAGCATGCGTCTCCAGTCTTGAAGGCCTCTTCCTTCTCCAACCATCTGAGTTTGGCTGTGAACCAGGGTTTGTCCTTATTGTAACTGGTTTGTGATGGAACACAGCTGATGTATGATGTCACATGTCAATCTCCAGTATCTGTCAACTGTATCCTACTCAAGCCTCATGGCATGTCATATCTTCCGTGACATAATCATCATGGATAACACTGCTCCAGTCTCCAACAGTGGGAGCTTTACTGGTTTTCTTCCCAGAAGCCAACAGTATACCAAACATTTAGCTTTTCCTTTCTCTTCTCTTCGCAAGATAACGACAGTAGGAGGAAAAATTTCTAACTTTGGGATTAATTCCCTCCAGATAAAAGATTTGCCAAATTCTTCAAACAGATTTTGAAGATGGCTGCTATGGAAACCAGTAGATTTTTCAGCCTAAGTCGAGTGTCTTTCAGGGAGTCTGATCTTTGGTTTAAGTTGCTGCCTCTAATCAGCAACTCCTGGTGTCTTTTCATTAAATCCCTAATTTGCTTATAAAATGTCCAGTTTGATCCTGATGGAGCAAATACATTAAAGATAACCTAAGAGCCTTTAATTCTACTACTGATGGTTACATAACATCCTTCGTTAACAAGTATTTCAGAGGTTATTTCTAAGTGACTTGGTGTGAAATGAAAATTACTAATTCCCTCCTGCGCCCAGACTCCTATGAAACAGAGAAAGTAGTTAAAACCTTTTGTGGTCAGTTTTAAATGTTCCTGATTAGAGCAATGTGTCTCATGCAGAAAAAAAAAGTGTATAATTTTTCTGCTACTCATTTTGGTCAGTTTGTAATTGATTAGTCTTCTGAGACTGGGCTGGTTCTGGGTTCAAATTCCTGCATGTGTGGGTTCTCTCCGGGTACTTCGGCTTCTTCCCACAGTCCAAAAACATGATTGTTAGTTTAAATGGCTTCTCCAAATTCTCCAAAGGGCTAGCCCGTCTGCAGCGGCCAGGGCTAACGTTAGCCTCTCTGCAGCGGCCAGGGCTAANCCTGCATCCTGTGGGGACCTGCTTTCTGTGGGGTCCTGCGTCCTGTGGGGACCTGCATCCTGTGGGGACCTGCTTTCTGTGGGGTCCTGCGTCCTGTGGGGACCTGCATCCTGTGGGGACCTGCTTTCTGTGGGGACCTGCATCCTGTGGGGACCTGCTTCCTGTGGGGTCCTGCTTCCTGTGGGGACCTGCTTGCTGTGGGGGCCTGCTTCCTGTGGGGCCTGTTTCCTGTGGGGACCTGCTTGCTGTGGGGACCTGCGTCCTGTGGGGTCCTGCATCCTGTGGGGACCTGCTTTCTGTGGGGTCCTGCGTCCTGTGGGGACCTGCTTCCTGTGGGGGCCTGCTTCCTGTGGTGCCTGTTTCCTGTGGGGACCTGCTTGCTGTGGGGACCTGCTTGCTGTGGGGTCCTGCATCCTGTGGGGACCTGCTTTCTGTGGGGACCTGCGTCCTGTGGGGTCCTGCATCCTGTGGGGTCCTGCATCCTGTGGGGTCCTGCATCCTGTGGGGACCTGCTTCCTGTGGGGTCCTGCTTCCTGTGGGGACCTGCTTGCTGTGGGGACCTGCTTGCTGTGGGGACCTGCGTCCTGTGGGGTCCTGCGTCCTGTGGGGTCCTGCATCCTGTGGGGTCCTGCTTTCTGTGGGGACCTGCGTCCTGTGGGGTCCTGCATCCTGTGGGGACCTGCTTTCTGTGGGGACCTGCGTCCTGTGGGGACCTGTGTCCTGTGGGGCCTGTTTGCTGTGGGGACCTGCGTCCTGTGGGGGCCTGCTTCCTGTGGGGTCCTGCTTCCTGTGGGGACCTGCATCCTGTGGGACCTGCGTCCTGTGGGGACCTGCATCCTGTGGGACCTGCTTTCTGTGGGGGCCTGCTTTCTGTGGGGTCCTGCTTTCTGTGGGGTCCTGCTTCCTGTGGGGANTCCTGTGGGGACCTGCATCCTGTGGGACCTGCTTTCTGTGGGGGCCTGCTTTCTGTGGGGTCCTGCTTTCTGTGGGGTCCTGCTTCCTGTGGGGACCTGCATCCTGTGGGACCTGCTTTCTGTGGGGGCCTGCTTTCTGTGGGGTCCTGCTTTCTGTGGGGGCCTGCCTCCTCAGTCGAGTGTTTATTCTTATTAACAGAAGATCAGCTCAGCATCAGCATGTGGACACAGCTGCTCCCACCCTTAGAAACCGATAGATCTCGTCTCATTGGGCGATAGGTGTGACAACAGAGCGGCCATCTTAGGGTTAGGGTTCGGTACGGTCAGAGAGAAGACACGGGTTCAACAGATTTCCAGATAAACCCACTGACTGAAAACCAGAATGTTTCAGGTTTCATGGGACCAACTGATTGATCTGATTTCCTGTTTTAAAACATCATTTTGATTTCTTATTGACAGCAAACTTTCAGAGCCAATTCTTAGGATGCCCGACTTTTATTAGATTTAGATTTAAAGACTTATACAGATTTGATTTGTCATTTTGTTTACACGATCGAACCGAACGATTCTGACGGTTTTCATAAATCGTCCCATCCCAGAGCTAATGTTAGCTCTGGCTGCTTCAGACAGGCTAACGTTAGCCCTGGCCACTGCAGACAGGCTAATGTTAGCTCTGGCTGCTTCAGACAGGCTAACGTTAGCCCTGGCCACTGCAGACAGGC